TGTCCACAGGCGGCAGGCGCTTTGCCAGGCATTTGGAGGCTTTGCTTTGTCTTCGGCTTTTTTTATTTTATTTTTAAGTCAGTCCTCCCCCGCCTTGGCTTAGCCGTGGCCTCGCTGCCGTGCTGTGTAGAACTGCAGTGATGGTCTGGTATCTGTTCAGGCTGACACGTTATGTAGGCCAGGACTTTGGCATAGTGTCAATGTACTTTAAATAATTTAAGGAATGAGCTTAATTTAGAATACTGGCCCAATGTGACAGTAAAGTTAATATCTTGGTATTATTTGACATATTAAGTAAGTTTCTTGAAGCATCTGTGGCGGGATTTAGAGGGAGGGAGTGCTAGGATTGCCATCGAGGGCAAAGAAACAGTAACTCTGAAAGACTTTTCATGTTCACCAATACTACGGATCTTAAGAGAGTTCTCATTAGTGCTGTGTTGCACTCTTTAAAGTTAATCTATATTTGAAGTAGACTAAGTAATGTGAAGAAATAACTGAAGGCAGTACTACTTCTGGTTGTCTCTGTCTAAAAATTTTAATTTTGTCCTTTACACCTCGTATCTCTTCATTGACATCTTGCTCAAGAAAATTAGCTTGTGGTTTTGAGGAAGGAAGTCATTTATATTCCATGAGATGGTATGGAAATCTCTGATGAAGTCTGATGTTTTGTTAATAACAACCTTCTGCTTTTAATAGGCCATTTGTGGAATCAAAATGGTTGAAGCAGATCGTCCTGGGAAGCTGTTCATTGGAGGCCTGAACACAGAGACTAATGAAAAAGCCCTTGAGGCTGTATTTGGCAAATATGGACGCATTGTGGAAGGTAAAAAGAAAAACCTTGCTGTTTTAAGACGCTAAAAAATATAAAGCAACAGCATAGCTGTGATGACACTTTTGGCATTGATCATCTGAAATGATGGTGCTTTCATGTCCTCTAAGAAGTCCTGAGCTTAAAAGGTTAAATAAAGGTTAAGTCTTACTGCCTCATTACAGGAAAGGGTAACCTGTCTTTTTTTTCTGCAGTCCTTTTGATGAAAGATCGTGAAACCAACAAGTCCAGAGGATTTGCATTTGTCACATTTGAAAGTCCAGCAGATGCGAAAGATGCTGCCAGAGATATGAATGGAAAGGTAGGAATTAAGACCAATTGTATATTGCTGTTCTTACCAGCAATATTGATCTTTGGGGTAAATCAACTAGTAATAAAACTTGGAAAGACAGTGGGTTAGAAGATCCTGGAGAGAAGTCAGCTTGAAATGTGGCAAAATGTCTCTCTTCCATTAAGCTGGAATCACTTTTTTCTGATTCTGGATTTGACAGTAGAAAGCGAAGTCTGGTGGTCAGTCAATTAAAATACATCTTTTTTTTTATTATTGATGATGGAGGGCTTTCTAGTAGTCAGCTCTTGATTCTTGCACATCTCCTATGTTTTTGTTTTATCACATTTGAATGCAGTACTGTGTAAATTACACTTCAGGGAAGTGACTGATCTGAAAACTATTAATGTTTCCCTTAACATGGGTTTAATGTGACTTCCCTACTGTGCTGAAGTGTTGATGTTCTATCTGGTCATCTGTAGATATCCTCATACATTTGTGAGTTGCATCATCAATCTACTTGGCATGTATGAGGAGCGTCTTGCCAGTTAATGTGAAATAGCTTTGCAGTTAGCCAGCAAGTGAATTTGCTTGTTTACACTCTACAATGCAAGGATATGACTTAAGAGGAAGTAAAAATTGAATGCATATGTAATGTCTTTAAAAAGAAAAACCCGAGAATTTGGAGCAAAAGTTCTGTGATAAATACCAGGGTAGTTCGTCAAAGGGTTGTAGGCTATTGTGGTCTGTGTCTGTTCCAGCATGTGTTTGAAAAAGGTAGATGCAAGTTTGCAACTTAATGGTCAACAGCTGGTTGTTATCTTCACAGAGGTCCTGTCTCTTCAGGCTGTCTTGTCAGTTAACTTGAATTTCAGATTGATCTTTCATGCATAATCTGAACAGTTGTGTTAAGGTCATGCTACGTTGGCCTTTCTCTAAGCAGTGTCTCTGAGATGCCATTCATGAAGAAGCCTCTACTGATTATGATTAGTGCTTGGGATATTGATAGCTTTGTCTTCTTAGTGTAAGATGTTGAAGTGAAAGAAAAATGTCAGTCATTGCAGTCAGTAAGTAAAGCATAATGAGTATTTGCACTTCAAGAATAAGAAAATTAGCTTGTTCTGGTGTTCACAGTGAACACAAATAGTAAAACTTCCATTTTGCGTTACAGCAGACTTTCTGCTCTGTGTACTGAGTTTCTGGGTGCTTCATGACAACCTCATGACAATTAGTGTTACTTTCTTTGGAGACTCACTTCCTTTTTAAACAAGTTAGTTTCTGTCAAGGCAGAGGGTGACAAGTCAGATAATGTCCATTCTGTACTGGCCTAAACATCCTTAGAGGTGTTCCTTTTATTGAATTTATTTCTCCGTTGTGTAGTTTGCTACAGTTCTGAAGACTTGTTTACTGCAGTTCTTAAACACTGATTTCCTCTGAAGTAGTCATTACACTGAACCCTCACCCAAGGTAACTTCAAGCACCAACAACTAATTATCAAACTGAAAGGAGTTCAGTCACTAATCCTAAGTATGGAGTGCAACTTTCAAATGAAAATCCCTCTGAAAATAATCACCAACTATTCTATATCTTGAATGTTGTGGCATGTGCTCAGTCACATTGGAAACATTCAGGGAGGTAATGCTTAGTATAGTAGTTAAATGAGATTGGATGTGGCTGAGGTAATGTCTACGTGTTCTGGAATGCACCGTCTGCATCACTGTCAAGAAATGCTAGAAAGTACTGCTGCGTGGATCATCATTCTCATGGTTGCTGTCTTCAACACTGCAAATCTAAAAAAGCCTTCGTCTGCTTTGAAATTTGAACAGCAAATAGTGTATGAAAAGAACATCCTCACTCGGGATTTGGCCTAGAACGACCTTTTTAATGTAAACCTTAGGTGCTGCTGTGCTACAGTGCAGTTCTATACTGGTCTAGTTTCGTTCAACCATGGATATGAAAGATGTGGAAGATGTTCATGAGGCTGTCTCTTGTCATCGTCTTCAGAAAGCGTTCTAGACAATAAGTACCAAGCTTGTGCCTGAAAAAGACTCCATGTTCTAGATCTGAGGAGCGATGTTGGAGGCAGGCTGTGGGAAGAGGTCACTAATAAATCAGAACTTGGAATTCTATTTGGAAATGATGGATTGGAGTGCTTATGAGAATTACAGACACTTAAGAAGAAGCAGCAGAAGCACTGTGCAGACAATACTTCAAGCAGTCTGTAAGGAGTTAGTTGACCCGTCTAGCCAGGGGGACGTGTTCTGCATCGCCAGCATGTTGCTCATTCTCTCATTCCAAAGGAATTCAAAGTTACAGCCAGTAGAAGAGGCTGACTTAGATTCTGCAAGAGTAAATTTGGATTTGATATTTAGCTTTGCAAATGTTCATGAGAAACGTATATCCCACATTTTGCTCCTTCCTGGGTGAGGGGAAGGAAGAGGGTTAATCATATTTCATTCTAAAATGGGACAAGAATAGACTAGTCTAAGCTTGCTTATTAAAGATTAATTTCAGTCCTGCAGAAAGAGGTCAGGAGATAATGATTTTAGAGTCAGGGTGGAGATTTTTCACTTGAATTACTTTCTCTGCAGAATTGGATCAATGTTAGCATGGCTGAGCAGCGCTGAAGAAATGTTAGAAGTACTTTATCACAACAAATTATTAGCCTTCTTTAAGAACCACCTTAATTGCATGGTAGACGAGTCTGCATTGTAATGTCACGAAATGCACATGCTTATATGGACACAAGTGTGAATACTCCCAAGTCTGTAGTGGTCATTCTGTGCAGCAGGCTGTTCTCATGATCGTTTGGTTTTAAGTCCTGAGGACAAAATGGATAATTAAAGAGAATCTGACCCTGGAGGAAATGTCTGGGACAAGTCAAAAGACTTCATTCCAGCATAGACCTGCCAAGCCAGCTGGACTGTGTTAAGAGATTGGAAGCGGATACTACAATTGAAACAACAGTCTAAACTGTACTCAGTGCTATAGAAGGTTGTCGTCTTCTAATCAACAGAAACTGTTACCAGTTCTTTTGGTGAAGAAGCAATACAATATATAGAAGCTCAGCCTGATAAGAAATGATCTTCAGTCCTTGAATATATTTGGTGAAAGGAAGCCTGCTTGATGTGCCATCAAGGAACATGCAGAAATGGTGGAGTCACTGCAGCATCAACAGTAAAATGATCCATTGGAGAGGAAAGCCCTATGCTGTGTTAGGTTGCAGTTTCATGCAAGTTCTTCTGTAACCGTTTCTTTGGAATACTTTTTTCTGCCCCACTCCCAAAACTTTCCAAATTTCACTCATCTTTTCTGTTGGAGTGTGGAACAGTTTGCAGGGCAGTACTCTAATTCTGTTTGGTTAAGGTTCCCTGGCTCACCTTACAAAACTGTGTAGATTGTTCATTCCACATACAGGAGTTTTTGATTGCCAATCTATTTTTATCATTAAATGAATTCTATCTTAAATGACTTTTCTGCTTTTTAGCACCAAGGTGACTCTGCTTTATGGTGCCCATATCTTACTAAAAATGCTACTGTAACACTCTGAATCAAGGTTATAAACACCAACTAATGAGTGTTCGTATTGACAGCTGGTGCTTTGGGCTCCTTGAAAAAATTTATTCTGAGATGGTTTGTGTGAATTTTAACTGGTCAGTGAGATGACACCTTTCTTCTTTGACTTAAGAACCTATAAAACAAAGTTGTCCCCTCTGCTTTCAAATAGGACAAACTTTGACATATCTTCTGGTTAATTAAAAAAAAAAAGAACTTGGACCTAATGAAAGGTCATTTTGGACCTTAGGCATAGCTTTTTAAGACTGCTTGCATAAAGCAGTTTCAAAAGAGACCTATCTTTTGCCTAGGTAACATGCATAAGTGCAAGGCAGAAGGAAATAGGAGGAGAAATTATAAGGAAAGCTACCTCCTATGTAAAAAAGGAAAGGACTTGGACCTAGCATGCAGGTTTTCAGAACCCATGCGAGCAGAAGGGGATGGTGTTTGGTTTCCAAACTGGAAATAAGCTGTCAGGAATCTGCCATGAAATTGAGGACAGCAGTGGTCATGACAAACCTTAAGGCTTCAAGCCTACTGTTCTTGTTTTGAGAAGAATGACTGAGACAAGATGAATGATGATGGCAAAAGAATAATAATATAAACTGAGAAGTTCCAGTGATTAGAGGTACTGATGCTCACACCTGGAATGTTTCAGCTTGTGCCAAAAAGCCTTTTGAGGAACCTTCCATAAGTAAAATATTTTTATTAAGTCAAAGCCAAAACCAATATAACTGTGGTAGTATTTAACTTTTTTTCTCACAATGGATCAAGTTGGACCTGTTTATGTATATAATAGGTTTTTCAAACAGTAGTTAACAACTACATATGGTGGCAGAATGCATGAACTAGTAAAGTGGATGATTTCAGAGAGGGCTAGATCCTAGCAAAGAACAAAAAATATTCAGTACCTCAGTAAACAACCATCACCAGTTCAGAGTAAGACATAACTAGCAGTCATGTTCTTGTTCATTTATTGCAGCAAAGAAGTGTGATAACACTTCCTGCCTGTATAATTCATTAGTTGTCATAGCAGAGTTAAATATTTAACTGCTAAAAAAGGCAAATAAACCACGTTTGTCAGAATAGATGGCAGTAACCTAACTTCAGTAGAGCTTGTGATCTTGGCTCTGCTATAATTACCAAATGTGTGGTGTCTGAAAGATTATACAGAAATTTGATTAATTAGGTTGAGTTACTCAATGTGTCTTGCCACCTGCTTATGTGTGAGGTATAATAGTTGGCTGCAGAGTTCCTGTTACTGCAGGTGTTTTTCCGGAAAAAGCTCCCACTTGTTTCCACAAAAACAAAAAAACCCACACCACAAAGCCCCTCCACTCTGGAAATGCAAGTAGTAGAGTAAATTGTGACAGTCACCTTTTTTGAAAACCCAGCTTGAAACAGTAGAAAAGAGGGGTCAGTTATAGTCTGTCTGCTTTGTAGATGCTGACATTACTTCTGACTACTTCAGTGATCACCGTTTTATCAGGACATGAAGAAAATGTACTAAACGGCCTCCCCATTGCCAGAAACCCCAACTGAAGCTAAGATACCTTCAGCTTAATCCTGTAACTACTGGTGCAGTCCTAGTTTGGTACAAAAGTCCGTGGCAATTGAAAGTAAATTGGAGATCATAAATCGTGTTTCATTTACAGAATAAATGACATGGGGCTGCCGTAATCATTGGACACTTGTGTTTTCACTGAAAGTCCTTTCTGATGCTGCTCTGTATTTTTTTTCCATCAATACCACAAGAATGAAGTACTGTATAAATTAGGCCCAACGTGCTGCTGAGTACATGGGGACTAATACTGAAGACTGAAATCAGTTCTAGAGTTGCTCTAACTTTGTAAAATGGAAGCCCTGTTATAGTGAAGCAAGAGGGGCTTAATTTAAGAAATACAAACATGCCTGAGCAGTAAGTAAAGCAGCTTCTTCTTTAGTCATTAGATGGAAAAGCAATTAAAGTGGAACAAGCAACCAAGCCATCCTTTGAAAGTGGTGGTAGGCGTGGGCCACCACCCCCTCCACGAAGCAGAGGTCCTCCCAGGGGCCTTAGAGGTGGAAGAGGCGGAAGTGGCGCGAGAGGACCACCTTCAAGAGGGAGTCACTTGGGTATGTATTTACCTCTCTCATTATATACTTGGACAACATACAAGACAATCCCATTGGAAGATGACAATAATCCTACTGGAAAAAAGTCAAACAGCCGAATAGTGCACTCCTTGTTCTTTATTAAAATGATGAAATCTGATCTCAGCAGTTTAGTCAAATTTTTGATTAGGCAAGTACACCTTAAGAAAAGGCTTTCAAATATGAAGATTCCCTTCTACAACTAACACTACACTTGACTTTTGGCTATGAAAGAAAAGCAAAACTCCTGCCCTGCACGTGAGAAAGGAAGCTTTCTGGTGTTCAAAGCGATTCTCTTCCACCAGGGAAAGGGAACTGCCTTTCATTCTTACTAGCAACAGGTCTAAACTTACAAAATTCAAGGACTGATCCTTACAGATCATAGTGGGAGTTAGGGATGCTAAGCCTTGCTTGTTGTTACAAAATAGTAGTGCGTTGAGTTGAGGCTTTCTGAAGTGGAAGGATAGTACATTACTTGATACTGGGTATTCTTTAATTTAAAATATAGCCATTTACTCAGAGACACTTCAGTATCAAAACAAAACTATCACTTAAAGCAAGCAGCACCTGAGGTAAAACAGTAAAAGCTGTAATGCAGAAACCCACCCCCACCCC